GGGGTTCCCTGGGACCCCCACACTGCTGAACCACCACTGGGATGGGGCAGCAGGGGCTCTCCTGGGACCCCACATTCCTGCCCTGATGCTGGGAAAGGGGTGGAGGAGTCAGAGCTCTCTGGGACCCCACATTCCTGTCCCATCACTGAGATGGGGATGGGGCAGCAGGGGCTCCCCTGGGACTCCCACACTCCTGTCCTGATGCTGGGAAAGGGGTGAGGGAGTGGGAGCTCTCTGGGACCCCCACATTCCTGCCCTCCTGATGCTGGGATGGGGATGGGGGAGCAGAGGCTTCCCCAGGACCCCACATTCCTGTCCCACCACTGGGATGGGGATGGGGGAGCAGAGGCTACCCTGGGACCCCACATTCTTGTCCCATCACTGGGATGGGGCAGCAGGGGCTCCCCTGGGACCCCCACACTCCTGAACTATCACTGGGATGGGGATGGGGGAGTGGGGGCTCCCCTGGGACCCCCAAACTCCTGAACTAACACTGGGATGGGGGAGCAGGGGCTCCCCTGGGACCCCACATTCCTGCCCCAATCCTGGGATGGTGATGGAGGAGCGGGGGCTCCCCTTGGACCCCCCCCCCACCCCTGCCCTGCTGGGGGTGTGCCAGGGGTGACCCCCCTGCCTTCCAGGGGATTGTATCCTGGCCACCCAACCCCGGGAGACATCGGAGGGGCTCCAGCTCAACTTCCAGCAGGTGAGGAGCAACACCCCAGGTCACCCAACCCCACCACTGACCCCCCCTGTCCTCTTGGGGGGCACAGTCAGCTCCAGGACCTGGGGGTTCCCCCTTCAGGAGCAAACCCCCCCTCGTTCCTCCTCCCTCCCAGAACATCAGTGACACCATGACGGTCCTCCCGAAGCTCTCGACGGGGCTGGACGTCAACGTGAGGTTCACGGGGGTCTCAGATTTCGAGTACACCCCCGAGTGCATCGTCTTCGACCTCCTCAACATCCCCCTCTACCACGGCTGGCTGGTGGACCCCCAGGTGAGGACAACCCCCCTCAGCTGGTGGCTTCCATGGGGCCAAGGGAACGATCCAAGGGCTGCAGAAGCTCTGCTCGGAGGGGTCGGGGTCAATCCTGGACAAGGCCACCAAGCTGAGCACGGATTCCCCACCCCTGGAAGTGTCCAAGGCCAGGTTGGACGGGGCTTGGAGCAACCTGGGCTGTGGAAGGTGTCCCTGCCCGTGGCAGGGGGGTTGTGGATGACCCTAGAAAGTCCTCTCCTGACCCAAACCCCTCTGTGATGTTTTTGGACGGGGCTTTAAACCTGAGCTGGTGGACGATTAATGGGAGGAAGTTGGACCAGGTGATCCCTCCCATCCCAAACCCTTCCGTGGTGGTGGAAACCATCAGGAATGTCCCTCTGATGGGGAAACTTCAAGCTGAGCCACAGGTTGGAAGCCAGGAGCTCACCCCCCTTCCCTGCCCTCCCTGCAGAGCCCGGAGATGGTCCAGGCCGTGGGCAAGCTCAGCTACAACCAACTGGTGGAGAAGATCATCACCTGCAAACAGGCCACCGACTCCAGCCTGGTGAGCGAAGGTAACAGCCCCCCCAGCCCCCTCCCCGGGGTCCCTGGGGGCAGAGCTGGACCCCCCCAGCCCCGCTGCCCTCCCCTCGATGTCCCCACAGGGCTGGTGGCCGAGCAGTTCCTGGAGGCCACGGCGTCACAGCTGAGCTACCACGGGCTGTGCGAGCTCACGGCCGCGGCCCCCGAGGGCGAGCTGGGCGTCTTCTTCCGCAACAACCACTTCAGCACCATGACCAAGCACAAGGTGGGGCCCCTGGACAACCCCCCGTGTGCCCCCCCAAGCCATGAACCCGCGCTGACCGTGCCCTGTCCCCCTGCCCACCAGGGCCACCTCTACCTGCTGGTGACGGACCAGGGCTTCCTGCGGGAGGAGGGGGTGGTCTGGGAGAGCCTGCACACGGTGGACGGGGACAGCTGCTTCTGTGACACCGACTTCCACCTCAGCCACGCCCCGGGCAAGGGGGGGGACCCCGCGGCCCCCCCCGGACCACCAGCTGCAGCAGAGACAAGTGGACCAGGTAGGGGACAAGCGGTGGTGGGGTTGGGGGTCACACACACCCCCCACCCTGAGTCTGGTCCCAGCCCAGCTGCAGGGTCTGGGCTCGCCGTGCTGACCCCCCCTCTCTTTGTGTTCCTGTGCCCCCCCCCAGGATTACATGGTGGCCCTGTCCCTGCAGCAGCAGCAGGGGCAGGACCCCCCCTCGGTGCTCAGTGACCTGGAGCTGGCGCGGCAGCTGCAGCACGAGGAGTATCAGCAGCACCATCCTCCTCCTCCTCCTCCTCCTCAGCAGCAGCAGCAGCTCCCAGGGCAGGTAAGGTGTCCCCTCACCCCTCCTCTGCCCCTCCGGGGGGTGTGGGGGGGGTCCCTGCAGGTCCCCTCACACCCCAGCACCCCACATGTCCCTGCAGGTGGGTGGTGGCCCTGGGGGGGTCCCTGCAGGTCCCCCCACAGCCCTCATGTCCCTGCAGGTGGGTGGTGGCCCTGGGGGGGGTCTCTGCAGGTCCCCCCACACTCCCCTTGTCCCTGCAGGTGGGTGGTGGCTCTGGGGGGTCTCTGCAGGTCCCCCCACACCCCCCATGTCTCTGTGGGTAGATGGTGGCCCTGGGGGGTCCCTGCAGGTCCCCCCACACCCCGCTTGTCCCCACAGGCAGGGTCACGTCCGGCCGGAGAGCGGAGGCAGCGGCAGAGGCCGGATTTGGACTGTACCCTCCTGTAGCCCCCCCCCCGGGGGGTCCCCACACCCAGAGCCCCCCGACTCCCACTCTGTGTCCCCCAGGGAGATCCCACGGGGGTCCCTGGGGGGCTGCAGAGGAGACACAGACACAGGAGGGGTGACAGTCCGAGCCCAGCGCTGGGACCACCCCGATCCTTCCAGTGGCCTTATGAACACGGGGGTCCCTCTCAGGGGGTCCCATCAAGGGGGTCCCTCTCAGGGGGTCCCATCAGGGGATCCCATACCTCAGTCCATGCTCCAGGACACTTTTCTAGGGGGAGAAACCTGTACCCCCCCCC